AGGAGTTGGACGACAATGTCCATCCAATTCCTGTGTGTGCACTTGCGTGTGTGTGGTGTGTGTGACCTCAAATCGGCACTATTGAAGGGGTACAGAAGTGCCCAGACAGACTATTTAACAGCAGTGCTAGACCGGCACTAATTAGGGCTCTGGCTGTGCCCAGAGATTTCACCGGCACCCTGGAGAGCCCCCTACTGTTTGCACTCCGTTCTCATGAACGGCCGCTATTCTAGAGAGCCCATACTGTTGTGCCCATGAAGGGCGACTATTCAACCAGCACGACAAAGAGCCGCCTGCTGATGTACTACAGTCCCATGTACGACCGGCTGACCTTCTCCTTGCTCATCTTCTCGGGCAAGGTGATGATGCACCGGTATCCCTTGATGGCGCATGCCAGCGCCAGGCCGATGCCTGTGTTCCCGGAAGTAGGCTCGATCAGAGTGTCCCCCGGCTGCTCGAACAAACAAGAACAAGAACAAGAACAAGAATCTGAACACTTTGCACTGGCATGTGTCTCTGCAACGAACCCGAAGTGAAAGGGATGTAGGTTTTCCTCGCACACGACATTTCACACACGGGGAACACGGCTGCCCCCCCTCGCCCCTCCCCAAAATATTTCCAAAACAGTTCATCCTAATGTAGTCATACTTTGATCCTTCCGGATGCCTCTGCGTCTTCCACCATCCGAACCGCAATCCGATCCTGGTGGAAACGACAGCAGCAGCAACAGCAGCAACAGCAACAGCAGCAACAGCAGCAGCAGCATCAGCCGCACGGCAAAACCGAATCCTCGAGAACAATCGTTCATCAAATGGTCGACAACGGTGACAGCCGAGGAATCAAGTACCGATATATTATTGTGCAGCTTTGTCATGACGATCGCCGAAACTTTCCGCTTTCTGTCATAGCCTCAGTTTTGCCGATTTCGCTTGAGATGGGAACGGAATTTCAACAGCTATTGCCAATAACATTTTGGTCCAACCATAGTCTTCTGTCCTGAAACTGAAGGGGGGGGGGGGGGGGGG